GAGTTATTTTTGGGCTATCTATTCTGTTCCATTATTCTGTGTCTTTTTATTCCAGCATCATGCTATTTTTGATTATTATAGATTTGTAGTATATTTTTAAGTCAGATGGTGTGATGCCTGTGGCATTGTTCCCTGTGATCAAAATTTATTTGGCTTTTTGGGGTCTTTTGTCGTTCCATACAAATTCGAGATTTTTTTCTATTTCTTTAAAAAAAATAGTCCTTGTAATTTTGATAAAGATTGCATTGACTCAGTAGATCGTTTTGGATATTATGGAAATTTTAACCATATTAATTTCAACAATATTTCTAATCCATGAACATGGTATATCTTTCTATTTGTTTTTGTCTTATTCAATTTTTTCAGTATTATTTTATAGTTTTGAATGTACAGGTCTTTCATCTCCTTGGTTAAATTTATTCCTAAGTGTTTTATATTTTTGTAGCCATTGTAGTTGATTTCTTTTTCAGATAGTTTGTTGTTAGTGTATAGGAATACTATTGATTTTTTAATGTTTATTTTTATTTTGTATCCCGAAACTTTACTGAACTAGTTTGTTCTAAAAAAAAATTGGTGGAGTCTTTAGGGGTTTTTCTATATAAGATCATATCATCTGCAAACAGGGACAAATTAACTTCTTCCTTTCCAGTTTGAATGCCTTTTATTTCTTTATCCTGCTTAATTGCTCTGGCTGGGACCATTTTTATATCTTTGAGGGTGGTACTATATATCTCATTTCTCCTAGGATGCAGTATTATTTTTTATTATCTTTTGCAGGAGGAGGGGTTTGATTTTAAAGATATTCATTTAGTATAACTCACTATAGTAGTTATTTTTCTAGGTCAAAGAACAATTACTGAGATGCTTTCTTAGTCTGTTTTGTGCTGCTGGATTAAAATATCTGAGACTGGGTTATTCATAAAGAACAGAAATGTATTGGCTTATAATTCTGAAGGCTAGGAAGTCTAAGGTCAAGCACTAGCAGTTCTGGTGTCTTGTGAGGCTGTTCTCTTCATCCAAGTTTGGGCCTTGCATGCTGCATCCTTCAAAGGGTGGAATGTCTGGATGCTCAAATGGTAAGAGGTAGAATGGGTGAAGAGAAAGTGAGAGAGAGCAAGAGGAGTAGAATCCACTCTTATATTAATGGAATTAGTCCAGTCCTGAAGGCAAAGCCCTCATTAACCTAAACACCCTTTAACAGTCCCACTTCCCAATGCCATCACAATGACAATTAAATTTTAACATGAGTTTTAGAGGGAACAGGCATTCAAACCACAGCAGATGCTGGCAACCATACATATGTCCATTCCAAATATACATTTCAGAACTGGGAAAATGACCACCAAATTTTTCTGTAAACCTACTCCAGCCACTTTGATTCAGACCTAGGACAGAATTTCATTTATTATCTGACTTCTATGTGTCCCCCTCTAAACCACATCGATGACAATTCAGACCATGTGTCCAGCAATCTATGTGTCAAATGTTCATAATCCTGAATATTTCCCTTTCTCCAGTGCATGTTTGCCATAGTAAATGAGCACAGATCTTGTTGTAAAGTTATTTCCAAATTTCCTTGCAACAGTGTTTATAGTCCTTCTTCAAAGTGGTCTGGGTATGAAAAATATCTCAAATCTTGAAACTAGTCAATTTTTTTTTAGATTGGTGTAGCCACCACCAGCCCTCAGCCCATCCACCCTTGATTTCTTTTAATCATATAAATTAAACAATGTCCATGTTAAATACTCATGTATTTTCCCTCTAGAGATATCATGCTCTATTAAATGTCTCTGTAGGTCTTTGTAATTTGGGCCTCTGTGACCGCCACTCTGGTCTTGCTCAACATTGCATTAGTTGTTTCTACTTGCTTTGGGTGGCTAGGTATTGTCAGTTTGCCTCTATTATTTTAGGACTTTACCATGTTCATTATTATCAGAGAACTCATTTCTGTACCAGAATTTTTTACTGTCAACTCTGTCTTACAAAATAGAGAGCTACCACTGAGGTTCTCAATGATGTTAATGTATTTGCCATCAACATATTCTTTGTTACTTTGGCAAATAAAATATATTTGGAACCTTCCTACAGAACACATTGAATGGTGGTTTTTCAATATGTTCTGGTGGACTGAAAATTCAATCTTGTCTGAAACTTCATTGCTCTTATGATGAAGTCCTTCCTTTGTTCCTGATCTTAGAAGGCAAGTATTCAGTCTTTGAATATTAAGTGTAATGTTAGCTGTATGCTTTTTGTAGATTCTCTTTATTAAGGTTAAGGAAGATCTCTTTTATTCCTACCTGTTTTTCTTTTGCAGTTTTATCAAAATGAATGTAGGATTTTGCCAAACTCTCTTTCTAAATTTATTAAGGTAGTCATATGGTGTTTGTTATCATTTTTGTGATAGAGATAAATTCAATTAATTTACTTTTGAATGTTAAATCATTCTTGCCTTCCCAGGATAACCCTTCCCCAACCCTTTGTCATGTATTATCATCATTGCATATTGTTAGATTTGAGTTGCTAATTTTTAAAAGAGAATTGTTGAGTCCAAGTTCATGAAGGATATTGGTATATATATTTCTTGTAGTATCTTTCATTATGGTATCTTAGTAATGCTGATTATGGGTCTCATTATATAAATAATGACTTCATTATATGAGCTGAGAAGTGTTCTATCCTTTTCAATTTGGGGAAACATTTTACATAGAGTAGTATTGTTTAACCTTAAATGTTTGGTGTAATTCACCAGTGATACCATCTATGTCTGGAGTTTTATTGTAGAAAATAATTTAACTACTCATTGAATTTACTTTATATATATGTATATACATGCACACACACACAAACATATATATACATATACACATATGTGTGTGTGTATATATGTTTGTGTGTGTGTATATATATGTGTATATGTGTGTATATATATATATATATATATATACACAAAGTATGAATTTATCTTTTCCTTCATTAGAAAGCTTGGTAGTTTATGTCTTTCAATGAATTTGCCCATTACATCTAAGTTGTCAAATATATTGTCAAATATATTTTTATTAATCTTTTAATTTTTTAAGAATTTTTAGTAATATCTTCCCTCTCATCTTGATGTTGATAATTATTTTGTATATATATTTTTGTCTCTTTCTTGTCCCTCATTAGTCTGACTAGGAGATTATTAATTGTATTATTTTCTCAAATAACACATTTATGGAGGCTTAAGAAAAGAAGGTATCTCTATGACATTAAAGTGCCAAGTGAAGCAGCAAGTTCTGGTGGAAAAGCTGCAGTAAGGCATCCAGAAGATCCAGCTAAGATCTTTGATGAAGGTGGCTACACTAAACAACACATTTTCAGTATAGACCAAACAGCCTTATATTATATGAAGATGCTATGTAGAACCTTCATAGCTAGAGAGGAGAAGTTAAAGCCTGGCCTCAAAGCTTCAAAGACAGGCTGAATCTCTTGTAGGGTCTATTGTAGCTGGTGGCTTTAAGTTGAAGCCCAATGCACATATACTATTCCAAAAATCCAAGAGCCCTTAAAAATTATTCTAAATCTGCTCTGCCTATGCTCTTGTGGATAGAAAAATAAAGCCTGGATGACAACACATCTGTAGGAAGCATGATTTAAAAAATATTTTAAGCCCACTGTTGAGACCTACTGCTCGGAAAAACAAAACAGATTTCTTTTAAAATCTTATTTCATATTGCAGTGCACCTAGTCAACTCAAGAGCTCTAATAGAGATGTACAAGGAAATGAATATTATTTTCATACTTGTTAAAATAATAGCCATTTTGAAGTCTATGGATCAAGAAGTAATTTCAAGTTTCAAATCTTATTTAAAAATACATTTTATAATGCTATAGCTGTCATAGGCAGTGATTCCTCTGATAGATCTGAGAAAAGTACACTGAAAACTTTCTGGAAATAATTCACCATTCTATAGGCTGTTAACAGCATTCATGGGAGGAGGTCAAGATATCAACATGAACAGAAGTTTAGGAGAAGTTGATTCCAACCTTTATAGATGACTTGTAGTTGAGTCAAGACTTCAGTGGAGGAAGTCACTGCAGATGTGGTGGGAATGGTAAGAGAGCTAGAATTAGAAGTAGAGCCTGAAAATGTGATTGAATTGCTGCAATCTTATAAAATTTGAATAATTGAGGAGATGCTTCTTATGGATGAGCAAAGATAGTGTTTCTTTGAAATGGAATCCGCTCTTGGTGAAGATGCTGTGAACATTGTTGAAATGACAACAAAAAATTAGAATATTAGATAAATGTTGTTGAAAAAGCAGCATCAAGATTTGACAGAATTGACTCCAATTTTGAAAGAAGTTCCACCGTTGGTAAAATGCTGTCCAACAGCATCGTGTGTTACAGAGAAATCTATTATGAAAGGTAGAATCAATTGATGTGGCAAACTTTATTGTTGCCTTTTTTTTTTTTTTTTTGAGATGGAATTTTGCTCTTGTTACCCAGGCTGGAGTGCAATGGCGTGATCTCGGCTCACTGCAACCTCCATCTCCTGAGTTCAAGCAATTCTCCTGCCTCCGCCTCCTGAATAGCTGCAACTACAGGCGTGCGCCACCATGCTCAATTAATTTTTTTGTATGTTTGGTTTTGTCACAGCAACCACCTCCCTGATGAGTCAGCAGCCATCAACATCAAGGCAAGACCTTCCTCCAGCAAAAAGATTACAACTTGGCAGGGCTCCATGGCTCACACCTGTAATCCCAGCACTTTGGGAGGCTGAGGTGGGTGGATCACAAGTTTAGGAGATCAAAACCATCCTGGCTAACACGGTGAAACCCCATCTCTACTAAAAATACAAAAAATTAGTCAGACGTGGTGGCATACACCTGTAATCTCAGCTACTGGGGAGGCTGAGGCAGGAGAATTACTTGAACATGGGAGGCAGAGCTTGCAGTAAGCTGAAATTGCACCACTGCACTCCAGCCTGGGTGACAGAGTGAGACTCCATCTCAAAAAAAAAAAAAAAATTTACAACTTGCAGAAGGCTCAAATGATTGTTATCATTTTTAAGCAATAAAGTATTTTTAATTAAGGTATATATGTGATTTTTCTAGCTATGATGCTGTTGGACACTTAATTGACTATACTATAGTGTAAACATAACCTTTAAATGCACTGAGAAACAAAAAAAAATTGTGACTCACTTTATTTCAGTATTCACTTTATTGTGGTAGTCCGGACCAAGCCTGCAATATCTCTAAGGTATGCTTGTATTTATGTTCTCTTCTTCCAAGCTAAGCTATTTTTATCATTAGATGTGCAGTGTCACTTAAAGTTTATGGGATTTACTATACCATGGTATCTGTATGTATCTAAAGAAGAGAGAAAGGGTGAAGAAACAGAGGGTAACATACATTATTACTGATCAGGACTGCCTGGTTCAGAGATGTGAAAAAGAGCCCATAAACATCAAGCAATGTAAAAATAGAACAAAGTATTGGGTAAAAAAAAATATTCATTCATTTATTTGTTCAAGAGAATCTTAAATGCCTGCTAAGTATAGCCCCTTGGTTAAGGAAGGCTGTAGAAAAATGCCTTTACATTAATGTCTGTGATACTGAGGAATTTATAAAGTAGCAGTTGTTGATATTTATTTGCCAAAATACATGATATTTAGAAGAGTAAACATAATAGAGTTTTGGTGGAAATAGAAAGTTGGTTTAAAAAAATAACTATAATTTTCATAATTATAAAACAATTTGGTAATATACATGTATACATATTTAAAGGAAATACCAAAGTGCAATATAATTTGAATACCAAAATATCCATCTGTGTTTTTCTTCAACAAATTAATTATTGTGAACTGATTTACAAATCCTATGTGCCACATGAATACTAAACAATTAAACTAAAAAACGGAAGTAATAATATAAGCCAGTATTATAGGGATTATATAACGTCAGATATTTTCATATGTTTGAAGAAAAAGAAATTTAAAGTTCAAAACAATCATCAGGAAATTTCTAAATATTCCTTTGATCTAAAAACAATAGAGAGTTTGGGTGTTGTATTTAAAAAAAAATCTTTTTTGTTTGTTGGTTTCAAATATCCTGGGAACTTAGGTAATTTTTTGTGCCCCAAATGGTTCCACAAGAAAAACTTTAAAATACATGTATACGATTGTTCCTGACCAGGCAAAAACTGAGCCAACTCATAATTACCTTCACAAACACTTGCACCTGCAAATAATTCTATGGTAACTACTAAACTAGCCTTGTTAATTGGACCGTTAATCACAGAGGGAGCAGAGTTTCCACTACCAGAAGGGTCATCTGTGCTTCTAATTGTTTCCCTGTTAGGAGTCCCTAAGCTTAGTTTGAATAAATCGATCAGATTGTGTCTCTCTATGACAGGAAAGTCAACTCCTAAAACTATGCCTTGCATAAAGTAGGCACTTGATATGTATTTGCTAATGCACTGGTTTAGTGACGCAAACAGTAGGAGAGATCTGAATTCTGTTAGGATGGCAGCCATTCAAAGAGCAGGAGGAAGTACAGCGGAAGTTTTACTCTCTACCTGAACGCCGCAGGTGAAGTTTGCTCAGAATATCACTTGCGATTTCACTTTAGAATTACTTTCCACAAGAGCAAGCCAGAGAGTCTAAGCCTATCTTTAATTTCCACTGACTTCTATATGTTTAAACTTGTGTCATTAAAATAGTAGTAGTTTACAGCTTTCTGAACCCCTCATACGGTTGCCCTTCTTTACAGAGAAGGGAGCTGTGACCGAGAATTGGTGACTTCACAGAGACTGTCTAGGTGCCAAACTTCGCTATGCTGTTATTTCCACTGCACCTGTAAACACACTCTGAGAGTATTTGACATAAGGGAGAAGAAGCCTGATGGCTTAATCCCAGCCTAAAATGTGAATGCTTCCAACAGAATAAAAGTAAGATTGTCCTAGTTAACCCTTCTCCTTATTTCACAAATGAGGAGGAAACTGAGAACCAGAATAGAAGAGCAATTCCCCATGATATATAGTAATTTATGCTTATAATAATGCTATTACCAATGAAAAGTGAAATTATGTTTCATTTACATTCTTTACTAAGGTAGTGAAATGTTAAGACATTTTAAATTAAGTTTCCCATTGGTCAGCTATAAACCTAAAGATTTTTGTTTTTCTATTATGTAAAAAAGTTAATGATTCACATTATTCTACCTTAAGACAATTTCAATAAATGATAGAATACTGACCTAATCATAGTGGAAATAACTGACACATAAAATTGTTTATTTCAAGGGGATCTGCAGCTCAGTATTTTAAGAGAGAGCATTAAAAAGCTGAATTTTTCATATTTTATCATTAAAATAAAAAATAGTCAAATATTATAAGTTTCAGACACATTTCTTCCTCTGTGGATATCAACATGTTTTCCCTGAAATCTTTCAAATAACAATAACAAAATTAGCTCATGACTCAAGAATTGAATACTCAATTCTTTTTCAGTCTTATTCCAACTTCTAGATAAAAATGTTAACTGAAAAAGACAGTCTTAAATATTTCTCTGGTCATCTCCCTCAGGGAGATTTGCAGTCTTTGTGCAAGATCATAAAAGAATGATTCACCTCTAATTTCTAATATTTCTTTGTAGTCATCATTTTTCTTCACTGTGATGGCAGGAGTGGTTGTTTAAACATGGTAATTAAGTGAAGGACTGTAGGTAAACACTTAATTTGCTGACAAAGTAGGGAAACTACCCAAAGACAAAAAAGAAATCACCATCTATGGGTAAATGCTGGTTTGTTTTTTTTAAGCCTTTTGGTAATAAGAAGGGAAAGAAAGAAAGCTGAACATGGAAAGCCCTAAAAATCATTTCTCCTAAGATAAAAGGATGGAGAAGAAATGGGAAAGTGTGTGTGTGTGTGGGTATATGTGTGTGTGTGCTGCTCTATAATCTTGTACAATTCAATTTCAACTTTATAACACCAACTGGAGTGGAGAGGAGTGTGTTCATACAGTAAGACATTTTTAATGGAAAAGTTTTGTGATACTCCATTAGAGTGATCTAGAAGTATGGAAACTTCATTTTCAGCAGGATAAGGAAAAAAGGAGAATTTGGTGACAGCTGCTTGCTGTTGGACCGATGTTTAAGCAGGCAGTGCAGTTTATTCATATAGCTGAGGTAGCGTATCTGGGTCAGGCACATTGAAGGCTTAATGGGAACTCATTCTCAGAGTGGGTGGTGACTTTGCTGAAGTCAAGATGTTTCTAGCAGAAGGGATAAAGTCAAGTAGGAACAGTTCTGATTCTGGGAGAGTAGGATGGATGGGTCACAGCTTGGGCTCCAACCCCAGTTGAATCTGCAACTGCCTTTGGCATGTTTAATGTCAGGAAGACAACACTCAAGAGAAAGAAATCTACTGTTCTACTGTTTTCTATAAAATGTAAGCCACTGTGATTTGCCAGATAAGCCATTTTTTAAAATGCACACTTAAGAAAGAAGTAATGATGCCAGTTAAAATTTAAAACAATATATCATTTTCATTTAGATTGTATATTTTAATACTTGTTGAAATGGATCTTGGCCAGGCGCAGTGGCTCACACCTGTAATCCCAGCACTTTGGGGGGCCAAAGTGGGCGGATCACTTGAGGTCGAGAGTTTGAGACCAGCCTGACCAACATGGAGAAACCCCGTCTCTACTAAAAATACAAAATTAGCTGGGCATGTGGTACATGCCTATAATCCCAGTTACCCAGGAGGCTGAGGCAGGAGAATTGCTTGAACCCAGAAGGCAGAGGTTGCAGTGAGCTGAGATCGTGCCATTGCACTCCAACCTGGGCAACAAGTTTGTCTCAAAAAAAAAAAAAAAAAAAAGAAAAAGAAAAAGAAATAAAGAAATGGATCTTAGGGCAACAACAATATATCCTTTTTCAAATGATTCTTAAATGATTTCTAGAATTAAGTGTCAAGGGTTGCAGTTGTCTGTCTAATCATGCCACCAGGAATCACTGCCAAGTTCGTACATGCCCAGGCAATGACAACCACCACATTAGGACCTTCCTAGCTTACAGAAATTATAATATTTCAACATAATTTCTGAGACTTAATATGGACAAATGACTATCTCCAAATTGGTGCAGTGTACTGAATTACCTCAGGCAACAAGCCATCCACCTTTTAGTCTTCAGTGAGAGAAAAGCAAACATAATAAAACAAAAACAGTGTCCTCTCCACCTTTCCCCACCTACAGTCTTGGCTCCTGCTGAGACTAACATGTTTTCCTTGCTTTTCCTTTGAATTTAGGGAAGAGCTCTTAGTGTTATATGTGAATGACTCTCTACATTAAACTTTTCATTTGAATCCAATTTTACAAACGGTATCAAGGATTTTACTCCAAATGTTCAATCATCTTGGGGTCAGCACAGATTCCAGGGAAGCCCCCAATCGTATAAACAGTGTAGTTTAGAGTGTTGTCACCAGAGCTGATGTTCTGAGCAATTCTAGTGAAATTGGCATGACTTTTTCTTTGTATGCTTATTAGGCAACATCCTCTTTTATTCTTCCTTCCACCAAAAAAGGAAAAAGAAAAACATTACAGAAGCTTTTTCCAAACCAGAGTTTTTGCTCTGTTATTATCCAGGTGGATTCTCAGTTGGTACTGAAATGGGAACTTAGGAACTCTGCGACTCCTTTTGGGAGGCTGCCGATTGGCCCACAGTGGGTTCCTGCAGAAATCTAGAATAGATTGAGAGATGAGAGAACAGAAAATATTGTCTGTCTGTGTGTATTCTATGCATACACTGCATATGGCATATTAGTTAAAGAATTTGTGTCCTGTTTTAACTATATATATTTCAAAAGGCATTATCTTTTTCTGTTTTCCTGTTTCATTAATTTAAACACTATTTTTGGCATCTGGCATACTCTTTTTTACCTTTGTTAATTATAAAATATGGGAGAAGGGAGTAGGTGACATAATTCTGTGCAAATAATAGATAGTAAATATTCTATTCACTAAATCTTTGAGTGATATATTGACAAACTATTACATTACTCTTCAGTCATTGGCAAATGATTAATGGATTTCCACCAGTTACAATGTTTTTCAGAAAATACAACACTAAGCACAACACTCAATTTTATGCACATTTAGGATGAAAAATAAATTACCACGGGAGAAGGAGCCTGAGATGTGAAAAGGCACATGCCTTTGGTGGATAAATCCCATTCATCCTAATTGACACTATTGTTATTTATAAATTTTTTTCTAATTTAATTTTAAGTTTTGGGATACATGTGAAGGACATGCAGGTTTGTTACATAGGTAAATGTGTGCCATGGTGGTTTTCTGTATCTATCAACCCATCACCTAGCTGTTAAGTCCCTCATGCCTTAGCTATTTATCCTGATGCTCTCCCTCCCCCAACCTTCTGCCACCAACAGGCTCCAGTGTGTGTTGTTCCCCTCCCTGTGTCCTTGTGTTCTCATTGTTTAACTCCCACTTATTAGTGAGAACATGTGGTACTTGGTTTTCTGTTCCTGTGTTAGTTTGCTGAGGATAATGGCTTCTAGCTTCATCCATGTCCCTGAATTGCAGCACTATTCACAATAGCAAAGACATGGAATCAACCCAAATGCCATCAATAATAGACTGGATGGAGAAAATGTGGCACATTTTACACCATGGAATATTATGCAGTCATAAAAAGTAACTATTGTTTCTTAATCCCATGAAACTGCTTACTGCTTTGGCAAACCAGCCACATTTTCTATGTGTGGCTCCACAATTCTGAATGTGTTTTTCCAATTTTCACTCCCAACTTGATGCCTCCATGTGGCTTAATCTTTTCAAAAGTACCATGTACCTTTCTAATTACTGTTCTCCAACAACACCACTGCCCACAGTTCAGTTTTACCATATGTCTCACTGCCCTACTTTGACCCTTTGATCCCTTTCAGATAGAGGCCTCTTCTATGCTCACCATCTACAACCCACCAGCAATAAAGTGCTATAGGACGAATAAAGAAGGGAACTTCCTGCTTTCAATAGCTTAAAACATACAATGTAAGTATGCAACACACAGTCAAACAAAAGAGAATAAATGAGTTTATCCCAATCCATTATTCCTGAATATGCATTACCGAGCTCTGTATAGTACCAAGAGATACTGTATTTTAAGTTTCATGGTCAAATGCATTTTGGAAATGCTACATTATTGTATTCCACTTTTTGAGATTCAGAGTTTAGTATATCAAAAGACCCAAAAAACAGTCTTACAAACACCAGTTTAACTCGCTGAATGCCAATAGTGTCCCAGATTATCTGACTTAACTACTTCCTTGCTATTGCTAGTCATGGGGCATTCTATCAGCCTTTCCCGAATCCCGTAAATCCATCCCAATACCTGTGAAAGTCCCTGTTAGACTCTGTTTAATCACCCTTTTAGCCTATCATTTGTTTCCTGCCCATCCTGTACACTTTGGGACCATTCTTCCATCACGCCAACAAGCATGAAGACTCATGCTTCTTTCCTGTGCTGGTCTCTGGGGCTGGAAAGCCGTTTTATTCATTTTCTAGCTATAACATCATGTTAACTATTCAGGGCCCATCCCAATTGCTGCTCTTTTTCCTTTCAGTTTTTCTACTTCCAAAAATCAGAAGTATTCCTTATTCTGGGTTTCCACTTGTATTATTAATCAGACTATTCTCATGCTTTGTCCCACTGGCCCTATCCTCCACACCCAGGGTCCCCAACCCTTGGCCATGGACTGGTACTGGTCTGTGGCCTGTTAGGAACCGGTCCCCACAGCAGGAGGTGAGTGGCAGGCAAGCAAGTGAAGCTTCATCTGTATTTACAGCTGCTCCCCATCACTCACACCACTGCCTGAGCTCCACCTCCTGTCACATCAGTGACAGCATTAGATTCTCATAAGAGTGCAAACTCTATTGTGCACTGCAGATGCGAGGGATCTAGGCTGCATGCTCCTTATGATAATTCACTGCCTGATGATTGGCTACTGTTTCCCATCACTCCCAACTGTAACTGTTTTGTTGCAGGAAAACAAGCTCAGGGCTTCCACTGATTCTACATTATGGTGAGTTGTCTAATTATATTGCATTATATAAAATGTAATAATAGAAATAAGGTATACAAAAAATGTAATGCACTTGAACCATCCAAAAACCATCCCCCCACTCCTAGTCCATGGGAAAAATTGTCTTCCACAAAACTGGTCTCTGGTGTCAAAAGGGTTGGTGGCCACTACTCCATACCATTCAACACAATATATTTTAGTTAGAAAGTTCTCTATATGGGTTTGTTGAATTGAATTGAAGGTGAGGCGTTGCATGTATCTGACAAAAGAATATAAAAGATTAAGTGCATCTCTTGGGATTTAACAACATTCTCCAGTCCCCACTGTGTGGTTCATGTTTTTAGTAAAATGTTTGATGAAAAGTAAAAATCTAAACTGTCTGTCACTTAAGCACTTTAGGAAGAGCAAATGTATTATTCCTCTTCACAATATTGTTATTACAGCAAGATCACTACAGGTCAACAAGAGATGGGTCTCAGGAAACGATGAGAGCCCCAGTGTATAAACATAGCATGCTTTGGAGAACGAATCCTCCATTGTTTCACAGTAGTCCTTTCCAGTCCAACTGATAGTGTTGGGTATATTTGGCTCCTTTTTTCTCCAACTAGGGTGTGGATCATGACATAGGACTAGAGGCTCAGATTACTTATCTACAGCAGTCATAGTGATGGTTTAGGAATCATTGTGTTACTCAAGCAGGCCTATAAGAATCCTATGAAAAACATTGCAAAACAATCGAGAGAGACATTCTCTTGCTTTAGTATTTGTAAGCTATCAAGTTGATAGCTTTCATTTTAGTTAAGATAGAATATGTTTTTGTTATAATAACAAAATCCCCAAATCACTAGAGAGTAACATTGTAAAGATTTATTTCTGTATTTCTCTCTTACACAAAGTTCACCGTCGTTCTAAGAAGTTCACCACATGGTGACTTATGTGTCCAGTCTGATTAAAATTCTCGTCAAGGACCTATGTCATTGGGGGCAATGTTTCAGGTAAAACAATTCTGGGTCAATGTTGAAGGTAAAATGATACTGGGCATGGGGGACTTCAAGCATGAACTTTTCACTGCATCGACCTGAGAGTGACATGGGTCACTTCCTTCTGCAGTGCACTGTCTAGAACTAATGACACAGCCCACCAAACTGCAAGTAAAAGGAAGTTGTGTATTACTGTCTCTGCCACAGCTTCTGACTTTTCCACCCCATATCCATATGGAAATAGCCTAACAATGAAGCCAAGTAGCAGCTAGCAAAGTCAAGAGTTGTTGATGAAAATTTCTGATGTAAAGAGTTAAGCCCAGAACCAGTTACACAGAGACTATGACACAGGGCTGCAGCAGGCATCCAAACAAGCAGAAACCATGCTTATGTATTTGTGTTTGTGTTTGTGTGTGTGCATGTGTATGTATGTCATATACACCAAGCATAAGAAATAAACATGAATCCTAATGCATATGAGATATGGGAAAAAAAGAATAAAAATAAATTTTGGCCCAGAAATTCAAATTTAAAAATTGTCACAGGATTATTGCTGCTGTTGTGGAACATCTCCACAAGTAGCTTTCTGTTCTTTGCTCTATGGTTAAATAAGCAAGTTAGGCAGAAGGCAAGGTTGACTTTTATAGCTAATTAGAAACTAGGAAATCAGTGCCAGATATACCATGTATTTAAGCTTACAAGTCTTCAAGGAGGACAATTGGCTGTGTTATTGAGACATATGACAAACCCCAAAAGGAATGACAGGTGACAAAATGCTCTCTAACTTTGAAATCACCTTATAGAATGTTTAATTGCCTATAGGGTAAACTATAAAGGGAGTTTCTAGTCTTTAACTTCTACTGATAACAATTGTTGGCTTTCACTGAGTGCCCACTATATGTCCTAGACATGGTACAAAGTGCTTTGCTTAAATTATCTCTGTTAAATCTTACAATAACCCAATGAATCTGCTAATAATATTATCATATTATACAAATCAGAATATGGAGGCATAGAGAAGGTATATAGTTTGGAGAAGACTGATGAGGAATTATGAATTGGCTAATACAAATTAAGAATTTGTATGTAAAAGTAAATTATACCTAAGTGTTTATATTTTAAAAGTCTGGCTGAATTGTTTATCGTGTGATACAAATGGCATCTGGTATAATAACTTTTGAAAAAATAATGTACTATGTTTGCATTTTTAAACAAAGAGTTCTATTTTTGAAATAAGAAAAGCAATGAAAGAAACCGCTTCTTTCTTCCTTGGATCTCTCTAGAGCTGAAGCCTCATAATGCATTGCAATGGTGAGGAAAATACCAAACAAGGAAGTAAATAGTGTTGCCTGCTAAACTTGACAAATCTAAATAGAAGATGATAGGGCCTCATGAGTTTGAAGCTCACTTTGGTAGAATTTCCTTGGCATGATGTCATGCACAAAGTCTTTTTTATTAAATAATCTGAATTTGATTTCTTCCCTACCTATAACTAGCTGCAAGACCTTTGCCAAATTACTTAACATTTCCAAATCTCACTTTTCTCATCTGTAAAACAGAAATCATAGTAATACTAATAGCATCTATATGTCTGGCTTATCATAAGTATTAAATAAACTTATCAATGTAAAAACATGTATCATCCTGCCTGGCATATTATGGGAGTTTATAAAATGTTGACTATTATCATCCATCATCACTGTCACCAATACCATCATCATCGTCGTCATTGTCATCACCCTAATCATCAAAATTGTCACCAGTCATAACTCTTTTTCACTCAAAGAACACTGAGGCAACTAACTTGGACCAATTACCAAATTGCTGATGAGCTGTTTTAATTTCTGGAGGATGGCTAAATTTTGATTTATTTTGTTGTCAGCTTTCTTAGGCGCCCCTCCCTCAATCGTGTATTTAGGGACTGAAAAAACAGTGATTCAAAATTAAGTCACTTATGCTAATAGGATATAATTGCAACTTAACAGGTAGGAATTAGTGCTTTTGCAGATATAAGCACAGGATAATTTGAACATTTGGTTCAAAGTGTGGACAGCACTGCTGTGTTGAGTAAAGCACCAACGAATATAAATAATGTGAGGGGAAAAGGCTTCGACTATTTTCCATAAACAAAATGGCATTTAATGTTGTTTACAGGCATGCTTGAAATTTCAACGACATACAACTACAAATGTACTTTTTTAAAAGTCAGGCTATTAAACAAAGCAAGAAAAAAAGAAAACTTAGCAGTTATAAAACCAAGCAGCAAAGAATTTCTAGGCATAAAATCCATGTAGATATCAGTTAAATGATTTTTTTGGAGATATCCTATGTGGGAAAGTTGTGACAACATCCTTCTCTTCATCCTATCCGTGAGGTTAGATTATGTTTCTTTGATCATTTCCTTTTATTTCTTCACATCTTTCCTTCTTTCCTTCCCTGAGGGGGAACAAATCATAGTGCTAAGGAAAATCACACACACACACACACACACACATACACACCCCTATATCTATATTCATGAATAAGAATTATATAGTTCCTTTTTATTCATCATGAATAATTTTACAGTGAAGAACACAGAAAGCTGATTGGCAATTACAACGTAGATGAATGCGCTCATTGGGTAAGTCTGTGAGCACATAGGAGGATTTCCAGATTAAAAATTGGGCTTAGCGGGAAGGCTTTCTGGGGAAGCAACTTCTCCACTGAAACTCACAGGAAGAGGAGCTGGTTATGTTGTGTGTGAAGTTATGTTGTTTGAGGAAGGTGAGGATGGTTAATTTTTATTTTATTCTTTTTTTATCATAACACTGAGATAACGGGAAACAAGTAGAGGTTTAAAGAAGAGCAAACGTCATGTATGGAAACAAGAGATCATGGCATGCTGGAACTTAGAAAGCACCCATTATGGTCAGAATGTGGAGTTTGGGCATGGTGACGGATAAAAGCTAGAGAGGCAAGGAAAGCATTGAGAGGCTTAAATGGTGCTCTAGACAGATCGCACTTACAGCCTAGAAAGATCATTTTAGCTAAACTATGGACATGAATTTGAAGGATATGAAATAAGATTAGCAATGGGGGACAAATTAAGAGGCTATTGTAGTAATTCAGGTAAGACATATGGTGACCTGTACTAGGGTAATAAAAGTAGGGAGATATGTATGAATTCAAGAAATATAAGACAGTGAGATCAATAGAACTTAGTGATTTCTGGTGTGTGTGTGTGTGTGTGTGTGTGTGTGTGTGTGTGTGTGCATGTGTGTTGATGAAGAAGAATGAGAATTCAAGGACTCTGTCCAGATTACTGGATTGAGAATCTAAATGGCTCTATTCCTAAAGACAGGGATCTTGGGGGAGGTGTACATTTATGAAGAAGGAGGTAGAATTTGGAATAAATTTTTCATAAGCATGGAGGAAAGGAACGTATGAAAGTGACTGAGAAGGAACACTCAAAGAGGCAGGAGGTAAAGCAGAAAAAGTTATTGTCTAATAAGTTTTTAGACATCTGGGGAAGCAAGCACTTGAAAAAAGAGAATTGTATGTGTGTGTACACATTGGGGAGCAAGGGTTACAAAGCAGATGTTTGTTCGCTGAGAAGTAAACAGAGAGTCTGAAGAAGCAGTGAGAGTGAGTACAAATGTCTTTCCTCTCTAAACCTAAAGTGCCATGTGACAAACAAGAGATGCCTATCACAGCACCGAGTCAGAGCATGATATCTGTTCTCTAACAAAATTCAAATAGGGAGAGAAAAGGAAAGAACCTAAAAAACTCTCAAAAAGAGAGATCAATTTAAGAGCGGATTCTTTAAACCTAGGATCAAAGTTCCTATTATTCATCAGCAATGAATACCTGTGTACTCTATATGTAAGGTGAAAGAAAGAGGAAGGGAGGAAGGAGAACAATTCCCAGGACTGAGAGCTCAGTTGCAGGTTTCCATGGAAATATTTGTAGCCAAATGGCTGGTCACTCTGCTCACATGCTGACATCGTGTTTCCAGTGGCAAAATAATGCCACCTGGTGTGCTGCTTTAGGTGTTCGGCATCTGAAACCATTTGGAAAGTTAAGGAAAGCCAGTGATAGATATTCTAGAGACGTCTGCTGTTGTACCAAAAAGCATACAACTGACTGATAGTAATGATAATGTGATAATAATGTTAATATGATACCAATAATACTTATATAATACTATTACTAATATGATACTCATATACCTGCTAATAATGCGATAATAATAATATTAATAGGATACAAGTAACAGCATATGCTAATATGCTACTGCTGCTAATATGCTACTGCTGCTAATATGCTACTGCTACTAATATGATACTCATATGCCTGCTAATAAGTTTTAATGAACATATTTATTAAGTTCATCAGTGTAGTCAGACTATGTGCTAAGGATTTTACACACATTAGTACCCAGTGCTCATGACCACCCAATGAAGTGGTTATTATTGTTAGCCTAATTTTACACATGAGAAGGTATGACTCAGGTTCCTAGATATTTGGGGATTTACCTGAGCCCACACATCTAATACATGGTAACATGAGAAAGGAAGTCAAGTTCATGCTGCCTTTTCACTTTGACATGGGAAGAACTTGATTATCATGATGAAAACACTATGAGACCGGGTGCAGTGGCTCACACCTGTAATCCCAGTACTTTAGGAGACCTAGGTGAGCAGATCACTCAAGCCCAGGAGTTCAAGACCAGCCTGGGCAACACGGAAAAATACACTCACACACACACACACCCACTATGAGGTAACTCAAATGTATAGAACAGAGAATGTGCTGAGTGCTTTGTGGTCATCCTCTTATTTAATCCTCCCAACAGCCTCATGAGGCAGGCACTGCTGTACATCCAGCTTATAAACCTAGACTCAATGAGATTGGGTAACTTGTCTGATGTTATGGAGGTAATGTGCTGCAGAACTGGGATTTTATCCAAGTTCTCTGACAACAGACCTTGTACACATTAAACCATCTCTCTGTTGCTTATTGGCCTGTGATACATATGGATTAAAGATGCACTGGTTCTGAACTGGACAGAAGCAACGTGTAGTACTTACTAATGAAAACAAAACTGATTCGGGCCTTCCTTTTGCTGTCTCTCAAAGGTGTCTTACATTTGGTGAATTTGTTAATCTGCATAAGATAAATAAAGTGTGGCCATATCTGGTGTGAGTACCTACAATATGCTATGCATAGTGCTAGAATGTGTCTGCTTTTTAACAGATAGAGCCGGAGAGTTCCTGGGGACCTGGGGAGATTATACTCCTAGAGACAGATTCAGAACTTTTTTGGCTGAAGGGTATTTTGGAATAAACATCCAAACGAGATCTGGCTAAATAATGTCTGGCTAAGGGCTTGATTCTAGAAAGTGACTGTACTGGCAATTCGGCCAAGGAAAGGCCTGGGACATGTTTCAAGGGAATCTTACTTTATTGAGTTGGAAGGAAGGGAACCACTCTTGATCCTGCACCAATATGCATTTTGATCTTGAAAAACCTATCTGCATAGTGCTTACTGCAAGAAGAGACAGGGAAGCTAAAATTCCTCTAAAATCTCTACCCCTAACTGAAAACAACTGGAGTTAAGGCTGAATTCCTTTTCATATAAAAGCTAAAGCCAGGAGGAGAAAGCTAAAAAATTCATTAACATACAATTTACACTGAATAATAAATGTAGAGGGAATTCTGTCAGGGATATACATTAGAAATGCAGTTGGCTTTGTTCTCTGAGAGTTCTATGGATACAACCCATTGACATTTCAAGGTAATTTCTTCTGTAAAATAACAGTGACTTTATGGACCCATTTCTGCTATGTTTTCTACCTCCACACTATTCACAGGAGGCAAAATAACAGGCATCTGACATGAGCATAGGCTGATAAGTTTTTCCTGAATCTCTCATAAATGTGTGTGTGTGTGCTAACACACACACACACAGATCCACAGGTGAATACGGGAAAAATAACAACTTTAAGGAAATTTTTTTCATGCTTTCTCTTGATTTATTTTCAAAAATTCAAATGAAATTTATTGAGCATGTTATTCTTATCAGGTACTCAATAGGTGCTATGGGTGATAAAATGATAAATAAGACATGGTACTTAAATTCAGGTTTATAATTTATTGAGGCAAACTGTGGAGTATACACTTTATCATAGTCCAAACAGACTGTTCTGGATTTATTATAATATAAGGCATAAGCAAAATTCTTCAGGGGCTCAGAGGAGGAAGAGATAAAATTTTAATGGATTAACTTGTTGTTAAGAGTTTTGACCCCATGTCTCTAACCATTTACTAGCTCTGTAACCTTGAACATGTCCTTAGCTGCTTTAAACTTTGGTTTTCTCATTTGTAAATTGAAGATAATAAGAGAAACAGTTTTATTAAAGATGATATGAAGAACAAGCAGTTAATTATTATTAGGTATTGAAGAAGTCTTCCCAAGGGTGGTGATATTTTAGTTGACCTTTGAAAGAGAGTAGTGTTTTTCACAGAAAGAGAGTTGTAGCAAGACTTCCAAGGCAGGGATACAGTTTGAGCAGAGCATCCCCTGCGTTCACCTGCAGGTGAAGCTGAAAGATGTGATACTCCCTTACATCCCCCTATCCTGCTTGGAATTTCTTACCATTAGGATTACTTATTTTGATTTGTGAAAAGAACTACTTCTAGTGACCAAAATCAAACCTGAACATCCAGTGTCTAAAAAGTGCGTGTGTGGAGTTGGTGATGGGGGTCTAACTCTCTTTTGAGTTCACTCGTAGCCATTAGCTCAATCATTTTATCAATTTAGCCAACTGTAGTCTTAGGAAACAGAGTTGGGGTGAAAGTGGAAGCTTCAGGACTGATCCAGTTGAAGTTCAACAGGTGATAAAGGACAGGGATATGGGACACTACAAGGGGATGCTGCAAGACAGTCTAAGGCCACCGCAAATATGGTAGGCCTGGAAGAAGGGCCAACAGCACATGGGACTCCTTTAAAATTCTTCTAGGGGCATTTTTGGTCGTATTTATTGGTCTCATGAAGATGGAAGTGAACGGCAAAGAAGGAGGGTAGGTTGGAGAGAGTTGGAGAGAGACCACACTGGCTGCTTCACACTCAGGGCTGATCCACCTGAGCAACAACCATCAATAATTTGCGTTGACTTTCAGCTGACCTTCTTTAAATTCAATGTGAAAAATCATTTCCAAGGTGACTAACACACACCTTTAATCTAATCACCAGTATTTCATAACAAGAACGTTTCAATCCAGCCCTGGCTATCTAACTGGGCCTCTTGGCCCAGGTTACTCCTCACTTGGAAGGCACATGCCCTCTCTGCATCTGTCGACAAGCTGAATCACATTTACTTGCCTCTAAGGCCTGGTTTTGCTGAGACTCTCCCTTGTCACCCTATATCTGCTACGTCCGAACTCAATGTCCATGCCACTTACCTGGTTTAAGAATACGCTGCCTAATGGAGGGGATTATTTTTCTTACCTTGGCAGCTCTGTGCTATCTATCCCATTTCTCAAGTGAGAATTCGAGTCCCTTGAGGAGAGAAATTGACAGAGATCTGTTTCCCCCCCGCCGTACTTCTCCTAGCCCAGAGTCCTGATGTGTTTGCCAATTGAATTAGTTACAGACAGAATCAAAAACATCAACACAATCAGCAAAATCCCCATTTCCCTTCAAATCTTTTTACCCTCCTTGTATTTTCTCTAACGCTTCAAAGGTTTTCATACTACGCTAAACCTATCCTTTTTGTTTTAAACCTTTTCCCTCCTCTTCACTACAAGGAAGATTTCCCTGACCACAAATATTCAAAGAGGGAGAAGTAATTAATAGGGAAATGCCAGTGTAAACATATGACAGAGCCTGCCTGTCTTCTAAGTGCAGAAAGCTGTCCACATGTGAATATCCTGACGTGTTGTTGTTGTAGCGCATAATCATTTTCAACCAGCACAGACAACTCTAATACACGTTTCCTCCATTTGGGAAGGGAGACAATGGAGTTCAGAGATGCTAGTTAAATTATACAAATTATACAGAGCTGAGCCTGGAACCCAGGCCTCTTTAAATGCCAATTCAAGATTTAACCCACTATCCTTCAATCTTGGTATTACTTTAGTAAGAAATATCAGAGTTTGGGATGATGGCAATGTCACAGTTGGTGGTATGGCTTCCCTATTCTCTGAAAAGGTAGCTCTCCTTCCAGCAGGGAGAACAGGAGCTGTAAAATATCCCCTAACATCAGATCCTCGAGCGAGTTCTCTGTGATCCCAGTGTAGGAGCAGCCTGTGGCCATGTACAGCCCATTCATTCTTTCCTAAATGGCTTTACATACATTGATTGCCAATTAAGGCTTTTGTTGCCAGCAGAGTAGTCAAGACCTAAAATTACCCCTTCACTTCTTATGGCTCCAGGGCACCCAGCCAAAGTAATATTTATGACTATTACAGATCAGTGAACTAAAGACAGTCAGGACACAGAAATGAGTCAAAACTATTCTTT